AATAAAATAAATAATAATAAAGCCGCTAGTATAGACTGCAGTCTATAACGTCGATTTGTTCTTTTTGACAAGTTTCAAACTTTTACCGTTAAAGAAAATGCGAGTTGTAACGTCCGTTTGTCTCTGCTATGTGCTCTGGAGATTTGTTTGTGAACTGTCCAAACCGTCCGGGGAGGTCATGTCATATGGTCATCTGCCAGCCTGGAGATTTCCAGATAGTCGCACACCCCTCTTTGCCCCGAAGTTTGTTTAATGTTTTTTTTGACCTCCAGATGCTTGGTGTGGCTTGAAGGGTAGCGGAGTTGAGTGTTGGTTTCATTTATTTATTATTTATATGTGTGTAGCTGTGTGTACGTGTGTGTAGCTGTGTGTACGTGTGTGTGTGTAGCTGTGTGTACGTGCGTGTGTGTGTGTAGCTGTGTGTACGTGCGTGTGTGTGTGTAGCTGTGTGTACGTGCGTGTGTGTGTGTAGCTGTGTGTACGTGCGTGTGTGTGTGTAGCTGTGTGTATGTGCGTGCGTGTGTGTGTAGCTGTGTGTGTGTGTAGCTGTGTGTACGTGCGTGCGTGTGTGTGTGTAGCTGTGTGTACGTGCGTGCGTGTGTGTGTAGCTGTGTGTACGTGCGTGCGTGTGTGTGTGTGTAGCTGTGTGTACGTGCGTGTGTGTGTGTGTAGCTTTGTGTACGTGCGTGCGTGTGTGTAGCTTTGTGTACGTGCATGTGTGTGTGTAGCTGTGTGTGCGTACGTGTGTGTGTAGCTGTGTGTGCGTGCGTGTGTGTGTAGCTGTGTGTGCGTGCGTGTGTGTAGCTGTGTGTACGTGCGTGCGTGTGTGTGTAGCTGTGTGTACGTGTGTGTGTAGCTGTGTGTGCGTGTGTAGCTGTGTAGCTGTGTGTGCGTGTGTAGCTGTGTGTACGTGTGTGCGTGTGTGTGTAGCTGTGTGTGCGTGTGTGTGTAGCTGTGTGTACGTGCGTGCGTGTGTGTGTAGCTGTGTGTACGTGCGTGCGTGTGTGTGTAGCTGTGTGTACGTGCGTGCGTGTGTGTAGCTGTGTGTACGTGCGTGTGTGTGTGTAGCTGTGTGTACGTGCGTGTGTGTGTGTGTGTAGCTGTGTGTATGTGCGTGCGTGTGTAGCTGTGTGTACGTGCGTGCATGTGTGTGTGTGTAGCTGTGTGTACGTGCGTGCGTGTGTGTGTGTGTAGCTGTGTGTACGTGCGTGCGTGTGTGTGTGTAGCTGTGTGTATGTGCGTGCGTGTGTGTGTAGCTGTGTGTACGTGTGTGTGTAGCTGTGTGTGCGCGTGTGTGTAGCTGTGTGTACGTGTGTGCGTGTGTGTGTAGCTGTGTGTGCGTGTGTGTGTCGCTGTGTGTGCGTGCGTGTGTGTGTAGCTGTGTGTACGTGCGTGTGTGTAGCTGTGTGTACGTGCGTGCGTGTGTGTGTGTAGCTGTGTGTACGTGCGTGCGTGTGTGTGTGTAGCTGTGTGTACGTGCATGTGTGTGTGTGTAGCTGTGTGTACGTGCGTGCGTGTGTGTGTGTATAGCTTTGTGTACGTGCGTGCGTGTGTGTGTGTAGCTGTGTGTACGTGCGTGTGTGTGTGTAGCTGTGTGTGCGTGCGTGTGTGTGTAGCTGTGTGTACGTGCGTGCGTGCGTGTGTGTAGCTGTGTGTACGTGCGTGCGTGTGTGTAGCTGTGTGTACGTGCGTGCGTGTGTGTAGCTGTGTGTACGTGCGTGCGTGCGTGTGTGTAGCTGTGTGTACGTGCGTGCGTGTGTGTAGCTGTGTGTACGTGCGTGCGTGTGTGTGTGTAGCTGTGTGTACGTGCGTGCGTGTGTGTGTGTAGCTGTGTGTACGTGCGTGTGTGTGTAGCTGTGTGTAGCTGTGTGTACGTGCGTGCGTGTGTGTGTAGCTGTGTGTACGTGTGTGTGTGTGTAGCTGTGTGTACGTGCGTGTGTGTGTGTGTAGCTGTGTGTACGTGCGTGCGTGTGTGTGTAGCTGTGTGTACGTGCGTGCGTGTGTGTGTCTGTAGCTGTGTGTACGTGCGTGCGTGTGTGTGTAGCTGTGTGTATGTGCGTGCGTGTGTGTGTAGCTGTGTGTACGTGTGTGTGTAGCTGTGTGTGCGCGTGTGTGTAGCTGTGTGTACGTGTGTGCGTGTGTGTGTAGCTGTGCGTGCGTGTGTGTGTTGCTGTGTGTGCGTGCGTGTGTGTGTAGCTGTGTGTACGTGCGTGCGTGTGTGTGTGTAGCTGTGTGTACGTGCGTGCGTGTGTGTGTGTAGCTGTGTGTACGTGCGTGCGTGTGTGTGTGTGTAGCTGTGTGTACGTGCGTGCGTGTGTGTGTGTGTAGCTTTGTGTACGTGCGTGTGTGTGTGTGTAGCTGTGTGTACGTGCGTGTGTGTGTGTAGCTGTATGTACGTGCGTGCGTGTGTGTGTAACTGTGTGTACGTGCGTGCGTGTGTGTAGCTGTGTGTACGTGCGTGCGTGTGTGTCTAGCTGTGTGTACGTGCGTGTGTGTAGCTGTGTGTACGTGCGTGCCTGTGTGTGTGTGTGTAGCTGTGTGTACGTGCGTGCGTGTGTGTGTGTGTAGCTGTGTGTACGTGCGTGCGTGTGTGTGTGTAGCTTTGTGTACGTGCGTGCGTGTGTGGGTGCCTAGGTGGGTACGTGCGTGCGTGTGTGTGTGTAGCTGTGTGTACGTGCGTGCGTGTGTGTGTAGCTGTGTGTGCGTAGCTGTGTGTACGTGTGTGCGTGTGTGTAGCTGTGTGTACCTGTGTGCGTGTGTGTGTGTGTAGCTGTGTGTACGTGTGTGCGTGTGTGTGTGTGTAGCTGTGTGTAGCTGTGTGTACGTGTGTGTGCGTAGCTGTGTGTGTGTGTGTGTAGCTGTGTGTACGTGTGTGTGCGTGTGTAGCTGTGTGTACGTGTGTGTATTAAACACACGGCACTCTTCCTCTTGGCGTTGCAGCTCTCTCCACTGCTGGTTGAGTTGGCGCGATGCTCGCCGTCGGCGGTGCGCGATGATTCCGTCGTCAGATAGCTTGCGCAGCTTGTCTGCTGGTCGCCGCTCCTCACTCTGGCCTTGGTTCCCAGCTGGTGCTGGTCGGTGTGTGTGTGGGTCGAACCCACGGCGCTCTCGCTGGCGCTGACACTCTTGCTCACGGGCGGCTGGTCAGGCTCTTTCCACTGCTCCGTGCTCTCTCCTTTCTCTCTCCTTGCTTTCGCCCTTGGCGTGCAGCTGCCAGTTTTGCACTGGCATTGTGTTGCCTCTCCCGCCCTCACTTCGGGGCTTCGCCTTGTCGTTGCTCAACTTTCGGTCTCTCCACCCTTCTTCCAAGAGGGCTGCTGCTGTGAGCTGCTCGTCGCTGGCTGGATCACTGACTCTCAAAACTTGTAAATTGTATTAGCACACCTCTTACACAACTCTGATAGCTTGGTACAATACAACTTATCGCAAACCCTCGATTCCACAAGCGACTCAAAACATCAGGATGAATGTAGAATAAACTTTCAGCGATACTCTGTCAGTTCATGCCAAACTCAGCTCTTAACAACACATCGTCCCTTCGCTCCACGAGACACGACACCCATGGTTGATCTCGAGGCCATGCCCCGGAGTTTGCCCCTTTGCAAGACTGAATTGCATGATCTGTGTCGTTGGTTATATCTGAAATTCCCTCCCCTCTCTGTGCGTCTCTTGCGAGAGAAAAAAAACAGATGCCCTCTGTCACCGTCCTCTCTCCACAGCCGCGCCTGAATGCCCCCCCCCTTCCCTTGATGACCTCGGACGGGTTGTTTTCCGTCTAAGTTTATGCTTGTTTGCATCCCCCCCCCCCTTTGTAGTGTTTGTTATCTCGAGGCCAGACACCCTTGATACGTATTTATGGTTGCCATGTGTTTGTGTCAAATTGTTTGAAGACAAAGGTGGCCGGGGAGGCTTTGATTCCATGGAATACATATCCGGTCTTGTGTGTGTTGGACCTATTTCTTGTATCTCTTATGAGTTACCCCCGGTCTAATATCTTGTGGTTATTATTTGGTTCATGTTTAACCAAGATTCGTAATGCCCCTCATTGTTACCATTATTCCGAGGGTTTTGCCAAGCTTTGTTGTAAGTCTGTGGCACCAGGGATCGGTGTTTTATTTTGAGTAATATTTTGATATCCCGAGGCTGGAGATATAACCAAGCGCTCACTTTCTTGTCTACCAGAATGCACATTCCTTGCTTCTCTTGGTGAAGTTACATGGATAGAAAGATACAATACAAAATGATATACGAGTTAAATAATGGTGAAATAAAATAAATAATAATAAAGCCGCTAGTATAGACTGCAGTCTATAACGTCGATTTGTTCTTTTTGACAAGTTTCAAACTTTTACCGTTAAAGAAAATGCGAGTTGTAACGTCCGTTTGTCTCTGCTATGTGCTCTGGAGATTTGTTTGTGAACTGTCCAAACCGTCCGGGGAGGTCATGTCATATGGTCATCTGCCAGCCTGGAGATTTCCAGATAGTCGCACACCCCTCTTTGCCCCGAAGTTTGTTTAATGTTTTTTTTGACCTCCAGATGCTTGGTGTGGCTTTAAGGGTAGCGGAGTTGAGTGTTGGTTTCATTTATTTATTATTTAAGGAAAAAAATGGATCGAATTATTCTTAATATAATTTTTTGGAAAAGGTCTATATATACAACACACCTCTAAGTTGCGATTGAACATGAATTTATGAATTTCTGCATAACACAAATAGTATTATTTTCAACACCTTTTGCTATGTCAACTGAATTTAGCTTTCATAAATATTCCTTTTGTAGCCAGACAGCCGAAATTTGTGACCATTTGCCCTCTCATTGTGTGCCATAACAGCCCGCGTGATGAATTTGGGAAACTTTTTCACTATTTCATGAATATATAAATAAGTATAGACGTGTAAGTCACGTGTGACTGTGTATATGCATTCCTCTGTGCCTCGATACTGACGTGTAGATGGTGTGGATATTCTTTTCTGTCTGCAACTGACGCTTCCTCTGTAGCTTCCTCTGCAGAATTGGTCTGATGGAGCAAAGGCACTCGGCGCAGCTCGGTGCGACAAGGCAACAATGCGACCGGTGTTCATACAGCACAAATTGTCCTGAACATTTGACACAGCACCAGAGAACTCGCATGGGAGAGAAACCCTTAAAGTGCAGTGTATGTGGGAAGGCGTTTGCACATTCATCTGAACTTGTAAAACACCAGAGAACACACACGGGAGAGAAACCCTTCAAGTGCAGTGTATGTGGGAAGGCGTTTGCACTTTCATCTACTCTTGTAGCACACCAGAGAACACACACGGGAGAGAAACCCTTCAAGTGCAGTGTGTGTGGGAAGGCGTTTGCACAGTCATCTACTCTTTTAAAACACCAGAGAACACACACGGGAGAGAAACCCTATAAGTGCAGTGTGTGTGTGAAGGCGTTTGCAAATTTATCTCATCTTGTAGTACACCAGAGAATACACACGGGAGAGAAACCCTTCAAGTGCATTCCGTGCGGGAAGGCGTTTGCACGTTCATCAAATTTTCATGTCCACCAGAGAACAAACAAGCATCAGAAGATCCACCAGGAGTGGAGTCTGAAATCAGCTTTAAAAAGTCAAAGTGCTGCAATGAGCCCATCCCTCATCAAACAAGAACCGGAAGAAAATCCCAGCTTGGACACTTTCAAAGAAATCGAGGTGAAATATGAAGAGGTGACGGTGAAATGTGAAGAAGTGATGGTGAAGAGCGAAGAAGTGAAGGTAAAATGTGAAGATGAAGATTCAACTCCAAAATTGGACCTTCACATCGATGGAGGCAACGTGAAGCAGGAGGAGAATTCTGACTGTGAGGCCGAGCGAGGCAACTCCCAGCAGTTTGTGGAAGTGGAGGTGTGGGTGGACTTCCTCCGAGACAATACAAAGTCAAATGGAGACCCGGGAGATGTGTAAGCTTGAGATGATGTCGCTCCAATAGATGCTCCTTTGTCACAGGCCTTTAATGACAAGAATGTGAAGTTTAATACTCGGTTCCTAGGTGCAACCTGCAGGGTAAGAGCGGCCAGTCTTTGTGGACCTGTGTGTTGGGTAGATTTCGAACCAGGAGCGAGAGCCAATAAGCTCCCAAGCATTCACTATGTTCTCATAATTGCATTTATATGGTGCTTGCTTAATCGCCTCTGGCAACTCGGAGTTTTGTATCGTATCTCGTCTCAACACTCCAAGAACATCCCCAAGTAGCAGCTGCCCCTGTGTGGCACAAGGTGGTGGCCCTGCACCGGCCTGCATGTGGACAAGAGCCTGTCAGTAGGGGGCGATGGTTGATGTGGCATCTCAGTTGTGGAGTTTGTAGGTAATGTTTAGTATTTGATAAATTTTGACCCAGATGCCAGCATGCAATGGCCTACTCGTTTTGAATGGTGCATTAGTATGTTGTACATACACTGTTAAGCAGATTTTGTGTATTTTTTTAATTAGCTTCTTGCTAATGCGATGTAACCTAGTGCAGTAATTCAATTTTGTTAACATGCCTGTCACTAATTTAGAATGAATACTTGTCTGATTGTGTGCGTACATGTAACCTTTTGTCTATAAGGGTCAAACATTGAGTAAGTGATGTTAGGACAAAGTTTGTGTTTTGCAAGTAACCTGTACAGATCAGGTGAGACTCCTTGTTCTTGTGATACAGGTCAAAGGGTATTTTTGTGTTTTCAGGAAGCATCTCCCTCTGGAGCAACTCATTGTCTTTGAAATAGCGAGCACACTCGGATCATTCATCAGTTACAAGGCAAACCACTTAAAAGTTACACGTAGAGGAGGTACATTCTCTATAACACGAATTATAATTTTGCATTACGTGTTGACATAGATTTTGTCTAACTCGGACTAGAAATGCTCCTTGCTGATTAACGTCTGGATGTCCGTAACTATCGGTTGAAACAAGCCCGGCTGCTGTTGAGACGCTGTGCACCAATAAGGGTCCACAGGTGGCTTGCACTGAATCAATGACGCGCTCCCAGAAGTCTGTGCTAGTTATAGTTTGTGTAAAACATTCATTTGTTTCGTGGAGAGATCGATAAATGAAAGATGTCGTGTCTGCTGATCTGCTTCATAGCAAGGAGGTAATTCTAAGAGCCTATTTGAAATACATTTTTGGTACAGATTTGTATTTGGTTACAAGGCAGAGCACATCTAGTAGATGCATTCTCCACAACAACACTCATTAGAATTTTGCATGACGTCTTATATGTTGGTGAACTAGGACAAGAAATGGTCCTTGCCGATTAACGTCTAAATGTTCACAACCATGGTTGAAGCAAGCCTGACCGCCTGCGGTGCCCCTCAACCATTTACGGCCTTGGGCCAGGAAAGTCACAAAAAATTGCACACGAACGACGCATTCACGCAAGCACCCGATGCTCCGTTTTGAAGTTTCAAAATGAAACAACTTTGAATTGTATTATGTTTTGCATTAGATCATTGTATTTCTTCTTTAAAAGCTTATATCATTTTACATATGGAAGACTTAATTGAAAACGACATTTCGTGTGAATTTTCTCTCGTCGTTAAGTAGATTGCCTTGCCGCGGATTCTGTTCGATGCGGACTTTCACCTGGTTGGGAGAAGACCGCCGTCTGCAGATCGATTCCAACGCGATCGGACGTCTGTCCCTGCGCCTCCGTCGTTCATGCAGGGGGCGCGTAGGTTTGCAGCGCCCCCTGCATGAAAGCGATGGAAAGTGCAGCGTTCGTCACAGACAAATGAAGTCGTGTGCTTATATATTTACGTATAAATTGTACACCAAAACCGGTCCACAGTTGACTTGCACTGAATGCTGCAGTAGTTATTATATTTTGTGTAAAACATTCCTTTGTTTCGCGGAGAGACTGAGAAATGAAATACGTCTTGTCTGCTGATCTAGTTCATATCCGTGTACATCGATATCCCACATTGCTTACACTACACACCACACAGGGAAATAAATAGAAACTAGAACGACTTCCGGGGATGGGCAAAGAGCGAGGAATCTCTTTCAATGGAGCGAGTTCAGTGAGTTCGATTCAACATTTCTCTGTGCGTCTGTGTCTCTGTTCGCCTCTATGTGTCTCTCTCTGCCTGTCTCTGTCCATGTCGTCTCTGTGTTCCTCTTGTCTGTGTTTGTCCGCCTGTCTTGTCTGTCTGTCCCACCGCAGTCAACGACTGCCAGTAGCAGCAGGCGCCCGTTCAGCTCCCACGGCTACACGCCACTCAAAGTTGCTCCCAACACAAAGACAAAGATCCCCCGTAAAGCCTGGACAGAATGTCGGGGCAAGTGCTGTTAGCGAGCACCTATTAAGGGTGGGACGGCACACGAGGGGGTGGGTGGCCGGCACCACGCCCGGCCGCCTTTGTCTCCCCAGTGCTAGCGATGTTGACACCGCACCGGGTACTCTTTTGAGGCTGACTCGACGTAGGGGAGGCTCAGGACCGGCTCAGAAAGTCGTCACTGGCGATGTTGGCCACGAGCGGGAATGGAACTCGGCGCAGCGCTCAGCACGACACTGCCGCTCCCCTTCTGTCAACAAACTTGAACTCTGACCCCGCCCTCTGACGTCGCCGCTCAGCGTGACCTCGTCGGCGTCAAACGCCAGGGGGAGGTGTGCCTCGCTAGTGACGTCATGTCACCAAGGTATTCGTTCTCCCCGACCACCGAGCTCTTGAGCGTGACGTCACCTCCGCTTGGCCGCAGCCGATGTCTGTTCCAGTGCCAATCCTTATTTGGGCAAAGCTACGCCCGGCGACTGGCGGCTCATTAACATAATTTATTCGAGAAAGCGACGGGTTCAGCAGCCACGCCTCTGCACGGATGGGCCGGGCTCATTAACATAATTTATGAACGTTACAGAGCCGCTCGTGGGATGGGAATGTCTTGTACCCCGCAAGTGACGTCATGTCACCTGCTGCTGCCGCGTGACGTCACGACGTAACAGGAAGCTGCCGCTCCTCGCGTGCACTGCAATCCGAGGTGAGACATTCTCATCGCGGTTGTGGTGGTGGTTGTGGTGTTGGTGGTGGTGTTGGTGGTGGTGGTGGTTGTTGTTGTTTACCAAGGTAAGAGCCTCGCTCTCTCGTAGGGGTGTCAATTGAGTAGCAGCGAGCATGGAAGCGATGTCCACGGTGGATCTTACAACGCGGGGCCTAGCCACGCGGGGCCTTGCCTCCTGCCCTCGCCTGCTGCAATTATCTTGCTTAAGTTGAATTGTCACCACCTGGCTCACTACTTCGTAACTTTGTTTTAATATTCACACCGATTTGTTTTCATTTTACCAGGCCAAGCCCACCTGAGCTGCTATACCGCTTTTGTCTTCAGACGCGACCTGCTCACAACAACAACAAGGTGAGGCTTCGTCAACAGCGTGGCGGTGTTCACTCTGGACGCGTGGCGGTGTTCACTCTAGACGCGTGGCGGTGTTCACTCTAGACACGTGGCGGTGTTCACTCTAGACGCGTGGCGGTGTTCACTCTAGACGCGTGGCGGTGTTCACTCTGGACGCGTGGCGGTGTTCACTCTAGACGCGTGGCGGTGTTCACTCTAGACACGTGGCGGTGTTCACTCTAGACGCGTGGCGGTGTTCACTCTAGACACGTGGCGGTGTTCACTCTAGACACGTGGCGGTGTTCACTCTAGACGCGTGGCGGTGTTCACTCTAGACGCGTGGCGGTGTTCACTCTAGACACGTGGCGGTGTTCACTCTAGACACGTGGCGGTGTTCACTCTAGACGCGTGGCGGTGTTCACTCTAGACACGTGGCGGTGTTCACTCTAGACACGTGGCGGTGTTCACTCTAGACACGTGGCGGTGTTCACTCTAGACACGTGGCGGTGTTCACTCTAGACGCGTGGCGGTGTTCACTCTAGACGCGTGGCGGTGTTCACTCTAGACACGTGGCGGTGTTCACTCTAGACACGTGGCGGTGTTCACTCTAGACGCGTGGCGGTGTTCACTCTAGACACGTGGCGGTGTTCACTCTAGACACGTGGCGGTGTTCACTCTAGACGCGTGGCGGTGTTCACTCTAGACGCGTGGCGGTGTTCACTCTAGACGCGTGGTGGTGTTCACTCTAGACACGTGGCGGTGTTCACTCTAGACACGTGGCGGTGTTCACTCTAGACGCGTGGTGGTGTTCACTCTAGACGCGTGGCGGTGTTCACTCTAGACGCGTGGTGGTGTTCACTCTAGACGCGTGGCGGTGTTCACTCTAGACGCGTGGTGGTGTTCACTCTAGACGCGTGGCGGTGTTCACTCTAGACACGTGGTGGTGTTCACTCTAGACACGTGGCGGTGTTCACTCTAGACACGTGGCGGTGTTCACTCTAGACGCGTGGCGGTGTTCACTCTAGACGCGTGGCGGTGTTCACTCTAGACGCGTGGTGGTGTTCACTCTAGATACGTGGCGGTGTTCACTCTAGACACGTGGCGGTGTTCACTCTAGACACGTGGCGGTGTTCACTCTAGACACGTGGCGGTGTTCACTCTAGACGCGTGGCGGTGTTCACTCTAGACGCGTGGCGGTGTTCACTCTAGACGCGTGGTGGTGTTCACTCTAGACACGTGGCGGTGTTCACTCTAGACACGTGGCGGTGTTCACTCTAGACGCGTGGTGGTGTTCACTCTAGACGCGTGGCGGTGTTCACTCTAGACGCGTGGTGGTGTTCACTCTAGACGCGTGGCGGTGTTCACTCTAGACACGTGGCGGTGTTCACTCTAGACACGTGGCGGTGTTCACTCTAGACGCGTGGCGGTGTTCACTCTAGACGCGTGGCGGTGTTCACTCTAGACGCGTGGTGGTGTTCACTCTAGACACGTGGCGGTGTTCACTCTAGACGCGTGGCGGTGTTCACTCTAGACGCGTGGTGGTGTTCACTCTAGACGCGTGGCGGTGTTCACTCTAGACGCGTGGTGGTGTTCACTCTAGACGCGTGGCGGTGTTCACTCTAGACGCGTGGTGGTGTTCACTCTAGACGCGTGGCGGTGTTCACTCTAGACACGTGGTGGTGTTCACTCTAGACACGTGGCGGTGTTCACTCTAGACACGTGGCGGTGTTCACTCTAGACGCGTGGTGGTGTTCACTCTAGACGCGTGGCGGTGTTCACTCTAGACGCGTGGTGGTGTTCACTCTAGATACGTGGCGGTGTTCACTCTAGACACGTGGCGGTGTTCACTCTAGACACGTGGCGGTGTTCACTCTAGACGCGTGGTGGTGTTCACTCTAGACGCGTGGCGGTGTTCACTCTAGACGCGTGGTGGTGTTCACTCTAGACACGTGGCGGTGTTCACTCTAGACGCGTGGTGGTGTTCACTCTAGACGCGTGGCGGTGTTCACTCTAGACGCGTGGCGGTGTTCACTCTAGACACGTGGCGGTGTTCACTCTAGACACGTGGCGGTGTTCACTCTAGACACGTGGCGGTGTTCACTCTAGACGCGTGGTGGTGTTCACTCTAGACACGTGGCGGGGTTCACTCTAGACGCGTGGTGGTGTTCACTCTAGACGCGTGGTGGTGTTCACTCTAGACGCGTGGCGGTGTTCACTCTAGACGCATGGCGGTGTTCACTCTAGACACGTGGCGGTGTTCACTCTAGACACGTGGCGGTGTTCACTCTAGACACGTGGCGGTGTTCACTCTAGACGCGTGGCGGTGTTCACTCTAGACACGTGGCGGTGTTCACTCTAGACGCGTGGCGGTGTTCACTCTAGACACGTGGCGGTGTTCACTCTAGACGCGTGGTGGTGTTCACTCTAGACGCGTGGTGGTGTTCACTCTAGACGTGTGGCGGTGTTCACTCTAGACACGTGGCGGTGTTCACTCTAGACACGTGGTGGTGTTCACTCTAGACACTTGGCGGTGTTCACTCTAGACACGTGGTGGTGTTCACTCTAGACACTTGGCGGTGTTCACTCTAGACGCGTGGTGGTGTTCACTCTAGACGCGTGGTGGTGTTCACTCTAGACGCGTGGCGGTGTTCACTCTGGACGCGTGGCGGTGTTCACTCTAGACACGTGGTGTTCACTCTAGACGCGTGGTGGTGTTCACTATAGACGCGTGGCGGTGTTCACTCTGGACACGTGGCGGTGTTCACTCTGGACGCGTGGTGGTGTTCACTCTAGACACGTGGCGGTGTTCACTCTAGACACGTGGTGGTGTTCACTCTAGACACGTGGCGGTGTTCACTCTCTACATGTGGAGGGGAAACCGGCGATCCGGAGGGAAATCCACGCGACCACGGGGGGAGAGAGAGAGGCACGCAGCCTCGGCTGTGTTGGTTGATCCTCTATGAATTTCTTGGTGGAGTGAGGAAGCATGAATAGTGAGCAGGTGAAGGTGGCCAGGCGTGTGTCGGGACACACCACCACCACCACCTGTGAACCATGCCAGTGTGTGACGGTGGTGTGTGTCTGGACACACACCACCACCACCACCTGTGAACCATGCCAGTGTGTGACGGTAGTGTGTGTCTGGACACACACCACCACCACCACCTGCGCACCATGCCAGTGCGTGACGGTGGCGGAGCGAGTGGGGGTGGGGTGGCACCGGCCCCCCAACGATCCCATCGAAATATACAAACACAGAGACGCTTTTAACCGAGAAGATGGATTCTGGCTCAGCAATCATTGGAAGGACGTAATAAACCATTTAGGATCTTAACTGATTGTGTTCACGTTTACGGTGACTTTCAGACCGCGTTCCACTCACTGGCATTGACTATATATCTTGTATTCTCCGCAGGGAATGGATTCTTTGCTCCGCTGCAAGTCTCCAACCACAACTCTCCCATTGACATATTTCGTTGCTTCATCTTAGTATCTTTCACGTGACGGTCAATGGTACAGTGTATAGCGGATTGTATAATAATAAATAGTATAAAATTGTAATGTTTAATACAATGTACAAAGTAATATATAGTATCGTAGTTGTATAGTGAATATACAGCAGTGTGATATACATTAGGGTGGGTAGAATAATACATAGTGTAATATTACAATGTATAAGGTGGTGTATAGTAATATAGTATGTAATTTAATGTTGGGTTTGTCTATGGCAGTATATAGTACGGTGTAGACTCGTGTGATGTAAGAGAATAAAGTTTAGCTGGAAGCATATTATATTTTTGCGACATAGAATTGGAATGTATTACTTACTGTTAGTAGCTTAGCTTATTGGAGAGTATATTTAGTATACTGATGATACTATGTAGTTTATACTTTAGTTGTTTATGTGGTGGTTTAATTACTGCAGCTACATACTATTAACATTCCTTCCCTTTATTAATGTTACCCCTATCCCCTCCCTTTGATGCTGGTAATCTTGCATAATGCACGGGCATAATATGACTTTAAACACCCCGCCAAACCTCCTACGCATTTCACAAGTAGTACTAATCGCATATCTGCATTTCCCATAAATATGCTAAATTCCTCTTGATATCCAAATTCTTTTGTCAAGGCGCTCTTCGCCCCTCCATCCCAGCTTAAATAGTCGCTCCAAGCCTGGGGTGTGTCATTCAGAGGACGGCTGCTTGCGTTGTGGCCGAAACGTCGTGAGAATTATTTATAATGTTTTATTTTTATTATTTTATTATTTCCATTCTACGTGACTTTACCGAAATAACCAAGAAGAGGTGCAATTCAGTTTTTAGACCCCAGGATATTGAATGTCAGGAATGACATCCTTCACAGATGGGATTAGATCACGGATTTTGTGTACTGTATTTCATCAGACCTGTTTGTTTAAGATTTTAGAGATGCCGATCAAAACTATCACGTTGTCGTCTTTAATATCTGCCGGGTACTACTACACCACGCAGCACTCACCCTCCCCCTTTCTAACCTATTTCACCTCTTGCCACGGCAACTCCTACTTCAGCAAAAAATGTCTTGCTGTGGTTTTCCCACCTGATGATGATTGATTGTGTTGCAATCGAAACGTCGTGATTTTATTTATTTTATTTTATACCTACGTGACTTTACCGAAAGTAACAACAGTATGGATCCCTGCAGTCACGAAAACTTCAAATCTGGATTGTACTAACAACTCCTATCATTTTTCATTGCTGGAGGGGTTGCCCCCTACCTGAAAATCCTGGCTCCGCCTCTGAGTGTGTGATAGTGTCAAGTTTGTATTTGCAGTAAAGTCTAGTTTTTTTTGTTTTGCTCTGGAACTCTTTGTAAGAATGGAGTCAGGAAGTTATCACAGCACACAGTGCAGCTGAAGTCGGAACTGTTCATACCAGCAGTCAAGGACATCTGAGCCTGGCTTCACACCTCGAAGTTGCAATTGAACATTGTTTTATGCATTTCTGCATAACACAAATAGTATTATTTTCAATACCCTTTGCTATGTCAGGTGAATTTAGCTTTCATAAGTATTTCTTTTGAAGCCAGGCAGCCGAAATTGTGTGCTTGGTGTTTTGGGTTAACATTCATTTTGAAGATACTAGGGCTTCCAGGCATGTTGATGACCATTTGCCTTCTCAGTGTGCCATAACAGCCCGTGTGATGAAGTTGGGACACTTTTTGACTATCATGAATATATGAATAAGTTTAAACGTGTAAGTCACGTGCGACTGTGTATATATGCATTCCTCTGTGCATTGATACTGACGTGTAGATGGTGTGGATATTCTTTTCTCCTGTCTGCAGCTGTTGCTTCCTCCGCAGAATTGGTCTGATGGAGCAAAGGCACTCGGCACGGCTCGGTGCAAAAAGGCAACAATGCGACCAGCGTGCAAACAGCACGGATCGTCCTGGAAATTTGACACGACACAAGAGAACTCACACAGGAGAGAATCCCTTCAAGTGCAGTGTGTGTGACAAGACATTTTCACAGTCATCAGCTCTTAAGACCCACCAGCGAACTCACACAGGAGAGAAACCCTTCAAGTGCACTCTGTGTGGGAAGGCGTTTGCATATTCATATAATCTTGTAACACACCAGAGAACGCACACGGGAGAGAAACCCTTCAAGTGCAGTGTGTGTGGGAAGCCATTTGCACATTCATCTGCTCTTGTAGCACACCAGAGAACACACACGGGAGAGAAACCCTTCAAGTGCAGTGTGTGTAGGAATGCGTATGCACAGTCATCTGCTCTTGTAGAACACCAGAGAACACACACGGGAGAGAAACCCTTCAAGTGCAGTGTGTGTGGGAAGGCGTTTGCACGTTCATCTGCTCTTGTAGAACACCAGAGAACACACACGGGAGAGAAACCATTCAAGTGCAGTGTGTGTGGGAAGGCGTTTACACTTTCATCAAATCTTGTAATACACCAGAGAACACACACGGGAGAGAAACCCTTCAAGTGCACTCCGTGCGGGAAGGCGTTTACACTTTCATCAAATCTTCACAGACACCAGAGAACACGCAAGCATCAGAAGATCCACAAGGAGTGGAGTCTGAAATCAGCTTGTGAAAGTCAAAGTGCCGCAATGAGCCCATCCCTCATGAAACAAGAACCGGAAGAAAATCCCAGCTTGGACGCTTTTAAAGGTACCGAGGTGAAATGTGAAGAAGTGAAGGTGAAATGTGAAGACGTGATGGTGAAGAGCGAAGAAGTGAAGGTAAAATGTGAAGATGAAGACTCCACTCCAAAATCGGACCTTCACATCGATGGAGGCAACGTGAAGCAGGAGGAGAATTCTGACTGCGAGTCAGAGCGAGGCAACTTCCAGCAGTTTGTTGAAGTGGAGGTGTGGGTGGACTTCCTCCGAGACAATACAAAGTCAAATGGAGACTCGTTAGATGTGTAAGCTTGAAACGATGTCGATCCAATAAACACACCTTTGTCACAGGCCTTTAATGACTAGAATGTGAAGTTGAACACTCAATTGCTAGGTTCAACCTGCAGGGTAAGAGCGGCCAGTCTTTGTGGACCTGTGTGTTGGGTAGATCTCTAACCAGGAGCGAGTTTCAATAAGCTCCCAAGCATTCACTATGTTATAATTGCATTTACAGTGGTCCCTCGGAGATCGAACTTAATTCGTTCCAAAACTGTGTTCGAACACCGATTTGTTGGAACACCAAATCAATTTTCCCCATAAGAATGAATGGAAATAGCATCAATTGGTTCCCCACCCAAGGTTGCTCCTATTATGGGCCATTTTTGCACAAAGTTTACAATGTTAAAAAACAGTCCAGTACATAAAAGCATACAAAAAGCAAGAAACAATTCTAATTAATAGAACAAATGAACATTGAACTTCACTTTACCTACAGTAAGGAGAGTGGATGGCTTGAGTGGAAGGTGGTGAGGAGTGGAGGAGGTGTCAGTGTTGCTTGTGTAATAAAGGATGTTGACGACACGCAGCTTGGTCTCCGTCTCTCTCGTATTCTTGTTACGCCGCTCACACTCCGCCGGTCCCGACAGTGGACCGGCTGTTCCTCTTGCGCGCCCCGCGCCCCCTTCCTGTCAGTCGCACTCCTCCTGCTCCCGCACACCGCTGGCTCACGCTGTGCTTGGAGTCGTCTCCAGCCACGTGGCTGATGGCGCAGGAGGTGTCCCCCGACCCAACGTGGTCCCACTCCGAGACTACGCCGACTGACCACGAGCCTCTTCCGGCTCCCCCTGATATCCCCCTCGCACGTCATCCCGTCTCCACCCTCCACCATGCCCTTGCCGAACCTTCCAGATCACGCCCTTCGCTTAGCCCCCCCCCGGCTCCGCCCCTGATCTTCCGGGCCGCCTGATTGGTCCAGAGCTGAGCGGCGACACCTCGCTCGCGCTGCGTTACGCAGTCTCGGGCGTTCTTCACACAGCGTTGCTGCCCTATCACTTCAGTCGTTCACTGCCGCGCGCACCCTGAACGTTGTGTTGTGTGTCTGCAGCAATCGCGTGTCTAGGAGAAAGACACACCAAAATTAAATAACCGAGCAAAATATCGAAATGTAATGTAATGCAACACAGAGTCGATCAACACACAATTAACGCATAGCCTGGTTGATTACGTATTTCAAAGATTGCTAAGTTAGAATTTAAGTGAAAATTCCAAAGAGAGGACACAGGCAGAGAGAGAAAACAACCAGAGAGAGAGAAAAAAGAAGCTTAAAACTTCCCCGAAGAAGTGGTTCAATCTTAATTTTGGAGCTTTCGTGACTGCAGGAATTATTATTTGGTTCTTTCGGTAAAGTCACGTATAAAGATAAAATAATAAATTAAATAATAATAGCATACTACGACGTTTCGATTGCAATACAAGCAATCATCAGGTATAAAAGAAATAGCAACAAAATCTAACCAGAAAACTATATCTTTCTCCTAATTTTCAAGCTTGCGTACCGTACCACGTCGTCCACTCATTGACATGCTAATTTTTTCTCTGCCCCCTCCCTCTCTCCGCCCCCGCCCCCTCTCTATATTTAAGGCCTCGTCACAGAGACGATCTCTCTTTGTGCCGATACGTGTTCTCTCTCTGTGTATCTTTGTGATATCTGTCTGCTTATATGTCTGTCTATAGTTTTCTGGTTAGATTTTGTTGCTATTTCTTTTATACCTGATGATGATTGCTTGTGTTGCAATCGAAACGTCGTATGCTATTATTATTTAATTTATTATTTTATCTTTATACGTGACTTTACCGAAAGAACCAAAGAACAGATAGTTTATTTTTTCTTTTTATCGGCGCTTGACGTGTTACGTGTGCCCTCTGGTGGACAAGTGCAGTACCACAAGCATTCAAATTGTTAGTGATAGGGTTTTACCCTTTCAACTGGTACAAAAACTGACACCTTTATACAAGGGATCATGTTTGCAATAACCACAACACAAGCAGTCAAAATGCAAACAAAAATAAACTCTGATAATGATATGCACTGTCCTTGAAGTTGATTGGTCCACACCCGAGACAGCTTTTCTTAGAGCCTAGTCTCCATTGGTGTTGGACCAGATTACGCCAAAAGTACCAGTTGAAAGGGTAAAAACCTATCACTATATTTTGCCACTGGTAAAGGAGGTCTCATCGTGTAAATTCAAATTGTTGGTTACGTGTGCCCTCTGGTGGACAAGTGCAGTACCACAAGTCTTCAATTCGAGGTTACATCTGCCATCTGGTGGACATGGGCAGGCCTATTTCTCTCTCATAGGGCCATTCGATCTTTCTCTCCCTCGGTCGCTTCGGGGTGGATTCATTGACACGCTCATTTACCTGCTCCAGCAGCTGCCCCAGCAGACACCCACCGCTCTCTCTCTGCCCATCCCCCTCCTCTCTATTTAAGGCCTCGATAGAGGCATTGGGTCTCTGTGTGTCTATGTTGTGTGTCTCTCTCTGTGTCTGTGTGTCTATGTTGTGTGTCTCTCTCTGTGTGTCTCTGTGTTGTCTCTCTCTGCTTGTGTGTCTATGTTGTGTGTCTCTCTCTGTGTCTGTCTGTGTCTCTGTGTTGTCTCTTTCTGTATGTGTCTCTGTGTTGTCTCTCTCTGCTTGTGTGTCTGTGTGTCTCTCTCTGCTTGTGTGTCTGTGTGTCTCTCTCTGCTTGTGTGTGTCTGTCTGTGTGTCTCCGTGTCTGTGTTTTGTCTCTCTCTCAAATGTAGTTCTACCCTGATGACGGTTGCTTGTGTTGCAATCGAAACGTCGTACTCCATTATTTAACTTGTTTTCTTTCTACGTGACTTTACGGACAGAACCAGAGAGAAATTCCTGCACTCACGAAAGCTTCACATCAAGTGTGGGCAGTGTAGAGGCCAACACAGCACGCCGCTGTCAGCGTCACCCCGCGCGTTCCCGCAGTTGTGAGTCGCTGCTGCTGCTGCGGCGTCCTGGCGTGAGTCCCCAGCGCGGTTGGCGGCGATGAAGCCGTGAAGCAGAGGTCGTAAACGGGTTTTGATTCCCGTTCCCTACCCGTACCCTACCCGAAATGAGTGACAAACGGTTACTCACCAGTGACTCACGGTCTACCCGTATCCGTACCCGGCTACCCGTACCCGGCCGGATACGGGTAGCCGGGTATCGGGTAGGGTACGGGTATCGGGTACCCGGTTGCGACCTCTGCAGTGAAGACGCCGCACAGCGCCACTGCTGCTGTCACCGCGCCAAGCACTGCAGTGGTACCACGTGACCACACGGTGGCGATACAGCACCATGCTGGTTATGTTATTTAGCGAGTGTCCATGTTGGTTAAGTTATTTTAGCGAGTGTCCATGTTGGTTAAGTTATTTAGCGAGTGTCCATGTTGGTTAGGTCATTTAGCGAGTGTCCATGTTGGTTAGGTTATTTAGCGAGTGTCTATGTTGGTTAGGTCATTTAGCGAGTGTCCATGTTGGTTAGGTTATTTAGCGAGTGTCCATTTTGGTTAGGTTATTTAGCGAGTGTCCATGTTGGTTAGGTTATTTAGCGAGTGTCCATGTTGGTTAGGTTATTTAGCGAGTGTCCATGTTGGTTAGTATATTTAGCGAGTGTCCATGTTGGTTAGGTTATTTAGCGAGTGTCCATGTTCGTGTGTATGTTGAACTTCCTTCACACCGTACATACCGTACATCCCCTAACCCATAACCATAACCTCTAACCATAACCCGTAACCCTAACCCCTAACACTAAACCTAACATTGACCCTAATCCTCCCCAAATCCTACCCTAACCATAACCCCTAACCCCGAACCCTAAACCCTGAACCTCATCCCCTAGCCCTAACCCTAACCTCTAACTCTAACCCCTAACCCCTAACCCTAAACTCTAATGCTAACCCTAAGCCCTAACCCTAAATGACCCTAACCCTAAACCCTAACCCCTACTTCCAACCCCTAACATTCACCCTAACCCCTAACCTCAAACCCCTTGCGCTAACCCCTAACCTCTTCCTCTAACCTCTTACCTTAACCCCTAACCTTCACCCAAACCCTAACACAATTTTGTCCAAAAACGGCATAGATTAATATGCCAATTTGCTTTTTGGCTAAAAAAGGTGTGCCGATTTTCTGAGTTGAAAATGTATCGTGAAATGTTAAATTTTGTACGTAATATGTAGAATACTACAGCAAACACAATGGAGGAATGCACTTGTTGAAAAATAAAGCTATGGGAATTTGGCTCATTTTGGACATAAACAGCAGAGGTTAGTATGTCGTTTTTTTGGGACGTGAACATTTAGTCCTAAAATTTTCCACTTTTAATCTAATACATAGCATATTAAGGGTAAATACAATGGATGAATTCACTTTTTTCCAAAAATAAAGCTGTAAAAATTTGGCCAATTGTGGCCAAAAACGGCATAGGTTAGTATGCCGATTTTCTTTTTTAAATCCTTTATATTAAGTTCGCTTGCTTGCGTGCTTGCTTGCTTGCGTGCTTGCTTGCTTGCTTACGACCGTGCAAATCTTTCGGTCGTTTTTTAACCCACTTCCCGTGATCCAAACGAGCTGACATTTTGCACACTGACTCGTTGTGCGTGACAATTAATTTTCGTGAAAATTTTTTTCCAAAATTTTCCACTTTTTAGGAAAAAAACAATTATCAACATGAATTAAACAGAGGGGACCAAAGGGGAAAAACATATTTTTTTATTGTGAGTTTATTTAAGAAGTCTGTACATAAGCCAGGTTTTCATCATGCTACATGTAGCCCCAGTGGCCTAATGGATAAGGCACTGGCCTCCTAAGCCAGGGATGGTGGGTTCGAGTCCCACCTGGGGTTGCGGAGAAAAAGCTGGTCATTTTGTAAAATCAAAAAGTCAAGTTAACGAATCTGATCATGAAAAGCCAAAATGGCGCTGTGCCTATAGAAGAGAGTTTTAAAACAGTGTTCAATTATACTCTTTGGTTCTTTCGGTAAAGTTACGTCGGTATAGTGTCCATCATCAGATGATGATGATGCATGCTTGTGTTGATGATAGACGCTTGTGTTGATGATAGACGCTTGTGTTGAGCCCGAAACGTCGTGATTTATTTTATTTTATACCTACGTGAATTTACCGAAAGAACCAAAGAGTATGGATTCCTGAAGTCACGAAAGCTTCAAATCAAGAGAGTTTTAAACAGTGTACTTTGGTGACAATTATCAACATTGATAAAGCAGAGAATAAAAGGGGAAAATACATATTCATTTCTATTAATTTATTGCGAGTTTATTAAAGAAGTCTGTATATAAGCCAGGTTTTCATCATGCTACATGTAGTTACAGTGGCCTAATGGATAAGGCACTGGCCTCCTAAGCCAGGGATTGTGGGTTCGAGTCCCACCTGGGGTAGCTGAGAAAAAGTTGTTAATTTTGTAGACGTCAAGTTTATGAATCTGACGATGAGAAGCGAAGGTGGTACTGTGCCGATCGAAGAGAGTGTGAAATCAGTGTACTTTGGTGACAGGAATCAACATTGATAAAGCAGAGGGGACGAAAGGGGGAAATACATATCCATTTTTTTATCCTTTATATTAAGTTCACTTGCTTGCTTACGACCGTGCAAATCTTTCGGTCGTTTTTAAATCCTTTAAATTAAGTTCACTTGCTTGCGCGCTTACGACCGTGCAAATCTTTCGGTCGTTTTTTAACCCACTTCCCGTGATCCAATCGAGCTGACATTTTCCACACAGACTCGTTGTGCGTGACAATTAATGTTCGTGAAAAATTTTTACCAAAATTTTACACTTTTTAGGCTAAAAAAAATATTTTACATTTATTCAAATATAACTCATTCATGGCTTTGGCTGAACGTCACAGTGTAGGGAGCCCAGAGCGTGACACCTCCACAGGCCCTGGCGGAGTAGCGCAGTTGGTAGCGCACTCGCTTCCCATGCCAAAGGTCGCGGGATCGATCCCCGCGTCTTCCACAGGCGAATATATTTTTAAATCCTTTATATTAAGCACTCTGGCTTGCTTGCTTACGACCGTGCAAATCTTTCGGTCGTTTTCTAACCCACTTCCCGTGATCCAATCGAGCTGACATTTTGCACACATACTCGTTGTGCATGACAATTAATGTTCGTGAAATTTTTTTTCCAAAATGTTACACTTTTTAGGCAAATTTTTTTTATTTTACATTTATTCAAATAGAACTCATTCATGGCTTTGGCTGAACGTCACAGTGTAGGAGCCCAGAGCGTGACACCTTCACAGGCCCTGGCGGAGTAGCGCAGTTGGTAGCGCCCTCGCTTCCCATGCCAAAGGTCGCGGGATCGATCCCCACGTCCTCCACAGGCGAATATATGTTTAAATCCTTTATATTAAGTTCTCTTGCTTGCGCGCTTATGACTGTGCAAATCTTTCGGTCGTTTTTTAACCCACTTCCCGTGATCCAATCGAGCTGACATTTTGCACACAGACTCGTTGTGCGTGGCAATTAATATTCGTGAAAAAAAATTTCTAAAATTTTACACTATTTAGGACACAAATATTATATTTAATTACCAATTGCTAAATGCTGCCATGCAATCATCTGACCCATAGGTGGCAGACATCTCAAGCCAGAGGACGAGAGGACTCTAGCCGCCACGCATATAAAGGATTTATAATGAAAAACTTTGTTTTTACGGGTTATACTTGTTTACATGACATGTTCATGGTGAAATATCCTACTTTTAATGCAATATAAAGCATACTAATGCTAAACAAAAGGGAGCAATTAACTTTTGTTGGAAAAGAAAGCTGTAAAAATTTGGCCAATATTGGCCAAAAATGGCATAGGTTAGTATGCCGATTTGCTTCTTTTTTACATGAAATGTGCACGGTGAAATATCCTACTTTTAATGCAATATAAAGCATACTAATGCTAAACAAAAGGGAGGAATTCAGTTTTGTTGAAAAAGAAAGCTGTAAAAATTTGGCCAATATTGGCCAAAAACGGCATAGGTTAGTATGCCGATTTTCTTTTTGTGGGACGTAAACATTTCATCGTGAAATTTTCCCCTTTTAATCTAATACATAGCATAATAAAGCTAAAAACAATAGAGGAATGAACTATTGTCCAAAAATTAAGCTGTAAAAGTTTGGCCACTATTGGCCAAAAACGGCATAGATTAGTATGCCGATTTACTTTTTTTACTTGAAAATTTCATGGTGAAATTTTCAACTTTTTTACGTAATATATCGGATATATAAGGATAAACAACCCCGAGGATTGCACTTTTGTTGAAAAAGAAAGCTGTAAAAATTTGGCCAATATTGGCCAAAAATGGCATAGGTTAGTATGCCGATTTGCTTCTTTTTTACATGAAATGTTCACGGTGAAATATCCTACTTTTAATGCAATATATAGCATACTAATGCTAAACAAAAGGGAGCAATTAACTTTTGTTGAAAAAGAAAGCTGTAAAAATTTGGCCAATATTGGCCAAAAACGGCATAGGTTAGTATGCCGATTTTCTTTTTGTGGGACGTAAACATTTCATCGTGAAATTTTCCCCTTTTAATCTAATACATAGCATAATAAGGCTAAATACAATAGAGGAATTAACTATTGTCCAAAAATAAAGCTGTAAAAGTTTGGCCACTATTGGCCAAAAACGGCATAGATTAGTATGCCGATTTACTTTTTTTACTTGAAAATTTCATGGTAAAGTTTCCAACTTTTTTACGTAACATATCGAATATATAAGGCTAAACAACCCTGAGGATTGCACTTTTGTTGAAAAAGAAAGCTGTAAAAATTTGGCCAATATTGGCCAAAAATGGCATAGGTTAGTATGCCGATTTGCTTCTTTTTTACATGAAATGTTCACGGTGAAATATCCTACTTTTAATGCAATATATAGCATACTAATGCTAAACAAAAGGGAGCAATTAACTTTTGTTGAAAAAGAAAGCTGTAAAAATTTGGCCAATATTGGCCAAAAATGGCATAGGTTAGTATGCCGATTTGCTCCTTTTTTACATGAAATGTTCACGGTGAAATATCCTACTTTTAATGCAATATATAGCATACTAATGCTAAACAAAAGGGAGCAATTAACTTTTGTTGAAAAAGAAAGCTGTAAAAATTTGGCCAATATTGGCCAAAAACGGCATAGGTTAGTATGCCGATTTTCTTTTTGTGGGACGTAAACATTTCATCGTAACATTTTCTTCTTTTAATCTAATACATAGCATACTAAGGCTAAATACAATAGAGGAATGAACTATTGTCCAAAAATAAAGCTGTAAAAGTTTGGCCACTATTGGCCAAAAACGACATAGATTAGTATGCCGATTTACTTTTTTTACTTGAAAATTTCATGGTGAAATTTCCAACTTTTTTACGTAATATATCGGATATATAAGGCTAAACAACCCCGAGGATTGCACTTTTGTTGAAAAAGAAAGCTTTAAAAATTTGGCCAATATTGGCCAAAAATGGCATAGGTTAGTATGTCGATTTGCTTCTTTTTTACATGAAATGTTCACGGTGAAATATCCTACTTTTAATGCAATATATAACATACTAATGCTAAACAAAAGGGAGGAATTAACTTTTGTTGTAAAAGAAAGCTGTAAAAATTTGGCCAACATTGGCCAAAAACGGCATTGGTTAGTATGCTGATTTGCTTCTTTTCTACATTACATGTTTATGGTGAAATATCCTACTTTTAATGCAATATAAAGCATACTAATGCTAAACAAAGGGAGGAATTCACTCTTTCTTGGAAAATGTAGCTATGAAAATTTGGATGATTTTGGCATAAAACTGCATAGGTGCCCTAATCCTAACGAACCCAACCCTAACCCTCAGCCATAACCCTAATCCCTTAACCTAAACCCTAGCCCCTAACCCTAAACTTAACCCCTAACCCTAACCGAAACCGCTAACCATAACTCTAACCCGCACCCTAACCCTAACCCGAAGCCCTAATCCTAACCCCTAACCCTAAACCTAATTCCTAACCCTAATCCCAAACCCTAATTGATATGCCTTTAAACGCGTCTCAACGAGATGAGTTGAATTGTATATGGCGCGACCCTGTCGAGTAGAGTCGAAGGGCACACACCACTTGCTTGTGTGACTTGTGGAACCGGGGCGGAATTTTGCATTGAAGTCAATGATGGCTGTGATTGTTGCCGATTTGAAGCGCACTGTTTGGGAATGCAGTGCGTTTCACTATTTCAGCACCGATGTTCACCAAATATGCAACGGTGTAAACGTATGGGGCAGGTTGGGATGTCAATGCAGTAGTTTGTTACTTGAAAATCCGTGAAGAAATAAAGAATTGAAGTGCAAATCGGCCAGAGAGTTTCGTTTTTATTTCCGGCGCTTGACGTGTTACGTGTGCCCTCTGGTGGACACGTGCAGTACCACAAGCATTCCATTCGTGGTGAAGTCTGCTATGTGGTGGACATGTGCAGCGTAGGCCAAGACAGTTCGCCAGCAGTTGCCGCTGTCAGACGTCACCCCGCGCGTTCCCCGCAGTTGTGAGTCGCTGCTTCTGCTGCGGCGTCCTGGCGTTAGTCCCAAGCGGGTTGGCTGCGATGAAGCCGTGAAGACGCCACACAGCGCCACTGCTGCTGTCACCGCGCCAGGCACTGCAGTTGTATCACGTGACCACACGGTGACGCTACAGCCCCACGTTGGTTAAGGTATTTCAGCAAGTGTCCATGTTGGTTAAGTTATTAAGCAAGTGTCCATATTGGTGACGTTATTTTAGCGAGTGTCCATGATGGTTAGGTTATTTAGCGAGTGTCCATGTTGGTTAGGTTATTTAGCGAGTGTCCATGATGGTTAGGTTATTTAGCGAGTGTCCATGATGGTTAGGTTATTTAGCGAGTGTCCATGATGGTTAGGTTATTTAGCGAGTGTCCATGTTGGTTAGGTTATGTAGCGAGTGTCCATGTTGGTTAGGTTATTTAGCGAGTGTCCATGATGGTTAGGTTATTTAGCGAGTGTCCATGATGGTTAGGTTATTTAGCGAGTGTCCATGATGGTTAGGTTATTTAGCGAGTGTCCATGATGGTTAGTTATTTAGCAAGTGTCCATGATGGTTAGGTTATTTAGTGAGTGTCTATGATGGTTAGGTTATTTAGCGAGTGTCTATGATGGTTAGGTTATTTAGCGAGTGTCCATGTTGGTTAGGTTATTTAGTGAGTGTCTATGATGGTTAGGTTATTTAGCAAGTGTCCATGATGGTTAGGTTATTTAGTGAGTGTCTATGATGGTTAGGTTATTTAGCGAGTGTCCATGTTGGTTAGGTTATTTAGCGAGTGTCCATGATGGTTAGGTTATTTAGCGAGTGTCCATGATGGTTAGGTTATTTAGCGAGTGTCCATGATGGTTAGGTTATTTAGCGAGTGTCCATGTTGGTTAGGTTATTTAGCGAGTGTCCATGATGGTTAGGTTATTTAGCGAGTGTCCATGTTGGTTAGGTTATTTAGCGAGTGTCCATGTTGGTTAGGTTATGTAGCGAGTGTCCATGTTGGTTAGGTTATTTAGCGAGTGTCCATGATGGTTAGGTTATTTAGCGAGTGTCCATGATGGTTAGGTTATTTAGCGAGTGTCCATGATGGTTAGGTTATTTAGCGAGTGTCCATGTTGGTTAGGTTATTTAGCGAATGTCCATGATGGTTAGGTTATTTAGCGAATGTCCATGATGGTTAGGTTATTTAGCGAATGTCCATGATGATTAGGTTATTTAGCGAATGTCCATGATGGTTAGGATATTTAGCGAGTGTCCATGATGGTTAGGTTATTTAGCGAGTGTCCATGATGGTTAGGTTATTTAGCGAGTGTCCATGTTGGTTAGGTTATTTAGCGAATGTCCATGATGGTTAGGTTATTTAGTGAGTGTCCATGATGGTTAGGTTATTTAGCGAATGTCCATGATGGTTAGGTTATTTAGCAAATGTCCATGATGGTTAGGTTATTTAGCGAGTGTCCATGTTGGTTAGGTTATTTAGCGAGTGTCCATGTTGGTTAGGTTATTTAGCGAGTGTCCATGATGGTTAGGTTATTTAGCGAATGTCCATGATGGTTAGGTTATTTAGCGAGTGTCCATGATGGTTAGGTTATTTAGCGAGTGTCCATGTTGGTTAGGTTATTTAGCGAGTGTCCATGTTGTTTAGGTTATTTAGCGAGTGTCCATGTTGGTTAGGTTATTTAGCGAGTGTCCATGATGGTTAGGTTATTTAGCGAGTGTCCATGATGGTTAGGTTATATAGCGAGTGTCCATGTTGGTTAGGTTATTTAGCGAGTGTCCATGTTGGTTAGGATATTTAGCGAATGTCCATGATGGTTAGGTTATTTAGCGAGTGTCCATGATGGTTAGGATATTTAGCGAGTGTCCATGATGGTTAGGATATTTAGCGAGTGTCCTTGTTGGTTAGGTTATTTAGCGAGTGTCCTTGTTGGTTAGGTTATTTAGCGAGTGTCCATGTTGGTTAGGTTATTTAGCGAGTGTCCATGATGGTTAGGATATTTAGCGAGTGTCCATGATGGTTAGGATATTTAGCGAGTGTCCATGATGGTTAGGTTATTTAGCGAGTGTCCATGATGGTTAGGTTATTTAGCGAATTTCCATGATGGTTAGGATATTTAGCGAGTGTCCATGATGGTTAGGTTATTTAGCGAGTGTCCATGATGGTTAGGATATTTAGCGAGTGTCCATGATGGTTAGGTTATTTAGCGAGTGTCCATGTTGGTTAGGTTATTTAGCGAGTGTCCATGTTGGTTAGGATATTTAGCGAATGTCCATGATGGTTAGGATATTTAGCGAGTGTCCATGATGGTTAGGTTATTTAGCGAGTGTCCATGATGGTTAGGTTATTTAGCGAATGTCCATGATGGTTAGGATATTTAGCAAGTGTCCATGATGGTTAGGTTATTTAGCGAGTGTCCATGATGGTTAGGTTATTTAGCGAGTGTCCATATTGGTTAGGTTATTTAGCGAGTGTCCATATTGGTTAGGTTATTTAGCGAGTGTCCATGATGGTTAGGTTATTTAGCGAGTGTCCATGATGGTTAGGTTATTTAGCGAGTGTCCATTATGGTTAGGTTATTTAGCGAGTGTCCATGATGGTTAGGTTATTTAGCGAGTGTCCATATTGGTTAGGTTATTTAGCGAGTGTCCATGATGGTTAGGTTATTTAGCGAGTGTCCATGATGGTTAGGTTATTTAGCGAGTGTCCATTATGGTTAGGTTATTTAGCGAGTGTCCATGATGGTTAGGTTATTTAGCGAGTGTCCATGATGGTTAGGTTATTTAGCGAGTGTCCATGATGGTTAGGTTATTTAGCGAGTGTCCATGATGGTTAGGTTATTTAGCGAGTGTCCCCCCCCACCCCCCCCCCCCCCCGTTGGTAGCGCCGAGGGCAGAGGTCGCAGTCGGGTACCCGATACCCGTACCCTACCCGATACCCGGCTACCCGTACCCGGCCAGGTACGGGTACCCGTTTGCGACCCTGGTGCGGCCGGTTACGGGTAAGGAATCAAACCCCGTTTGCGACCTCTGGCCGAGGGGCTTAGCTGTCTGGGATCCTGAGCCCCCAGCAGTCCCTCCTGCAGATGGGCCCCGTCTACCACTGCTGGTAGGTGCGGCCCATTTACGGCACTACACCTACATCATTGCTTTATTGGCCTGGTCAAGGCGTATGATACCATCAGTAGACCTGGGCTCTGGCTTGTTCTTAGTGCTTTTAGAGTCCCTGAATCTCTGCTCACAATCAATAAGGACCTTCAGGATGGTGAGCATGCCTGGGTAAAACTATGCGACTAAGTCACCTTATGTGACTTAGTCACATATTCACTTAAAGATGTTTCTTGTTCATGTTTTTTTTTTGTTGCGGTTGCACCCGATTCAAGAGCCGAATGGCTCACAGGTCTATACCTAATAAATGAACTTGAACCTTGGGGTGCGACAGGGATGTCTTCCCACATTATTTAACATTCATTTCGACCACGTAGTTCGTGAAGCCTTTGATGGCTGTACCGGAGGAATTTCCATCTGGTACAGACACAATGGGAGGCTGATCGATGCCTGGGTGCGGTCAAGGGATGGCACCCTATTGGTCAACCATGTTATGTATGCCAGTGATCTGGTAATTGCTGCTCACACAGAGGAGGAGTTGGAGGCGCTGCTGCTGAACCTGGAGCGTGCCACTAAGAGGTGGGGCCTTACCATCAGCACCACCAAAACTAAGCACCTGCCTGGGTATTTTGTACCATCGGACACTGCACCCCCACAACTCCCAATTGGTGATGGGGCAGTTGTGGAGAGAGTGGAGAGTTTCCCATACCTGGGCAGTGTGCTCATGACCGGCTCCAGTATGACAGCAGAGGTCTCACTCCGAACCAGTCGAGTGGCATTATCCTTTAATCGGTTGCGTAACACTGTGTGGAAGCTACCTGATGTGTCGCTCCACATGAAGCTTCAGGTCGTCTCGGTCACAGTCATTCCCTCCCTTTCTCTACACTTGCAAAACGTGGACACCCCGTATATAACATCTTTGCTAGTTAGAAACATTTAGGCTGGCCTGCCTACGATCCATCCTGGGTTTAACCAGGCTGGATTGTGTGAGGAGCTCACAAATCCTTGAAAGATCTGGACAAAGTCCCATCAGTGAGCTCCTCTGGCACGGCACGTGCTAGAAAAGAGATAGAATGATGTGGTACAGGAGGATGTGGAGCTGAGTGGACTTGCCGATAACTGGTACCAGCAGTGTCAAGATCGGCCTCAGTGGAGGAGGCTCGTGAAGGACGCTACTGGGCAGTTGGAGGCAGTCACCCTCCAACAACAACGGAGGGCGGAGGAGCAACGCTCACAACAACGAGCGGAGCGCCGGGTGGCTAAAGCACAGCAAGTTGGCACAGTAGGGGGCACAGGTGGTGCATCAGCCAGTCATCTCAGTCATTCGACCCGTGGCACCTGGGTCTGCCCTGTGACCTCCTGCCAGCGGGCGTTCGACACTTCACGTGGCCTCAACGTACACATGGCCTGGCACAAGCATCGTGGTGACGTCACCGCCACTTAGTGGTGAATGGCGGTAGTTGTTGGTGGGTGGGTGTATGAATGGGTGTGTGAATGGATGTTTGTGGGTGAGTGGATGCGAGCGAGCGGGTGGGTGAGTGGATGTGACTGGGTGTGTGAGAGTTGGCGGTGAGTTGGGAAGGTTGAGGCTTCGTCTCAGGCAGTGGACAGACCAGGACAGCACGAGTTTGTGATCAGTTTTAAAGGGGTTACAAATTTATTCCAGAACGCGGGACAACTGCCCAACGCACATGACCCCACGTTGGCCTTATCAATAATCTCCCAGCTTCCAACTCGGCTCACTTGGACTCATCCTCGGAGCAGCTGCTTCTGGCTTGTCATCGAACGTAGATGGTCACCGCATCACGCTCTTTCAGATACGCTTCTGCGGCCGTCTGGACCGCTCTTCCTTCTGATATTAGGAAGACACTGGGAGCTATTCACTTTTAAATCATCTAGATTGAAAACTCGTTTCTTTATAAAATGAGGTTTGTGTTTAGTTTGTTGTCCTAGCAGTGTTGACTACGTACGGTGTGAAAAAAGTTCAATATATGTACACACTTACATACACAAAGAAGTTCAACATGCGTACATACGTACACACACATTCTCTCGAAAGTACTGGCACTGAGACCCTGGGTTCAAGCCCTGGATCTGGGTGTCTCTGTCTTTGGGTTCATAATGGCTGTGTCACTTGAACCACTGCCCACGAAACATCGAGTTCAAGCCCGATTCTGGGTCTCTCTCCGTTTCTGACGGGGTTCACAATGGCCGTGTGTGTAACCATGGCTAGCCTCACCGAGTCGCATGGCTTTATTTTCAGGAGGGTCCTGTCCACTGTTGTTGTTCCCAGCAGTAGGGTTGGGGGGCAGGTGGGGGGGGGGGGTTTCTCAGCATTGGCACGTAAGTGGCTATGAGATGTCATCTCCCTCGCCTGGTCTACAGGAGGTCGTGAGTTCGATCCCAACCCTGACGCCTGCTGCTGTCTATTTGGAGTTTGCGTCTCTCTTTCTCCCCGTGGCTGCGTGGATTTTCTCCGAGTGCTCCGGTCTTTCCCTCCACATTTAGAAACAGGCGGTGCGAGTATTTGGCTGCTGCTATAAATCCCCCCGTGATGATGAGATCAGCAACTTGGTTGGCTGCGATCATTTGTAACATGCAGGATGCTTCTGAGAAAGAGCTGCCTGGCTCAGTGGGCCTCACCGGCTACAATACAAACGTTTGGTTGTGGGATTTGGCTGAATAGCAGTTCCACAGCGGGTGCAGGTTAAGCTTTGCAGAACAGAATTTTGGACCAACCGAGTTCATCTCGCGAGGCCGACAACGGCCGGATCGGAGAGACGGTCACAACTGCAAGGCTCCTGTCGATGGGACTTTGTTGACGGTATCAAAATGGTGACAAAAAACCGACTACCATATTCAAACACCAAAGAGAGACACACCTACTGTTATTTCAGGGCATCAAATCTGCATGAACCCACACGTGCTCGTGGCAAACAAACGTGCTCCAGCTAGTGACGTCAGCATCGTCTTTGCCATGGAGACATCCTTGTGTCGGTGTTCTCATCGTATCAAATCCCTTCCTCCGCACCTCCAATTAGTGCAAGTAACTACGTACACGCCGCCAAAGAGCTCCGCCGCGCGTACAACAACGTAGATTCAAATGTTCCGGACGCCGACGCTCGGAAGTGCTAACCGGTTTCGACCACAAGGCTCGAACCGGTTTCTTGGACGGGGTTAACGGTTGGACGACCCGGGGAGTGACCGGCCAAGACCGAGTCGGCTGGGACTCGGCACTCCTCACACCGAGGTCTCGACGTCCGGCGGAGGGGGCTGCTCGGAGCGTCGGCGACTCTCCTGGTCTGGGAAGGGAAACGTGGAGAGAGCGAGAGAGAGAGCGAGAGAGGGAGAGAGAGGGAGAGAGAGGGAGAGAGAGAGGTCAATGACACGGCCAGCCTCCCCCCTGACCCCGAGACCTGCACGGCCCGAGGTCTCGACACGCCGCGTCTCCGTGTCTTGGTGTCTCGCCCAGCACAATCCGCGTACACTCCCCTGCTCCCCCCCCTCCCGTGCCCCCCACCCTGTAACCCCCCCCTCCCCGTGCCCCCCCCACTCACCCTGCACCAGCCCGGCGAGCTTCTTCTTGTACTTGAGCCTCTTCTTGCGCAGGATGCGCGTCTTGACATTGAGCGGAATGTCCGGGATCAGCCACGCCACACACACCTTGATTGCCACCACCAGGTGCTGGGACAGAGACACACGCACAGATATATACACATAGAGATATACACACGCAGAGATATACACACACACACACACAGATACACACACAGAGATACACACACAGAGACACACACACAGATATATACACACACAGATATACACACACACACACAGACATACACACACAGATATACACACGCAGAGATATACACACACACACAGAGATACACACACACAGAGATACACACACACACAGATACACACACACACAGATACACACACATAGAGATATACACACACAGAGATACACACACACACAGAGATACACACACACACACAGATACACACACATAGAGATATAAACACACAGAGATACACACACACAGAGATACTCACACAGAGATACACACACACAGAGATACACACACCTTGATTGCCACCACCAGGTGCTGGGACATAGACACACGCAGAGATATACACACACACAGATATACACACACACAGAGATACACACACACACAGAGAGATACACACACACAGATACAACACACACAGAGATATATACACACACACAGAGATATACACACACCTTGATTGCCACCACCAGGTGCTGGGACATAGACACACGCAGAGATACACACACACAGATATACACACACACACAGATATACACACACACAGAGATACACACACACAGAGATACACACACAGAGATATACACACACACAGATACACACACACAGAGAGAGATATACACACACAGATACACACACAGAGATACACACACAGAGAGATACACACACACACAGAGATACACACACTAGTTATTCTCCCCCCCCCCCTCTCTTCGCCCCCCCGCACCTCGAACAAGAAGACGAAGGCGAAGCGCGCCGCGAGGATGAACCAGAACTGGGGCGTGAACTCGTACTGCTGCTCTGAGAAGGACGGGTGGCGGTAGTCCCTGTACCTGCACCGCGACAACAACAACAACAAACAACAACAACAACATAGAGACATCACAATCCACAGAAACAACAACCATCAACAACGGGAGGGAGGGAGGGTGAGTGGGGGGGGTGTGAGTGGGGGGTGTGAGTGGGGGGGGGGAGGGGGTGGGGGTGAGTGAGTGGGGGGGGGGAGTGAGTAGGGGGGGTGAGTAGGGTGAGTAGGGGGGGTGAGTAGGGTGAGTAGGGTGAGTGGTGGGGGGGTGAGTAGGGGGTGGGTGAGTGTGGGTGGGTGAGTAGGGGGGTGAATAGGGGGGGTGAGTAGGGTGAGTAGGGGGTGGGTGAGTGGGGGGGTGAGTAGTGGGTGAGTGGGGGGGGGGTGAGTGGGGGGGGGTGAGTGGGGGTGGGTGAGTAGGGTGGGTGAGTAGGGGAGGTGAGTAGAGGGTGGTGAGTAGGGTGGGTGAGTAGTAGGGTGAGTGGAGGGGTGAGTAGTAAGGGGTGTGAGTAGTAGGGTGAGTGGGGGGGTGTGAGTGGGGGGAGTGTGAGTGGTGGGTTGGTGAGTAGGGGGTGTGAGTAGTAGGGTGGTGAGTAGGGTGGGTGAGTAGGGGGTGTGAGTAGTAGGGTGAGTGGGGGGGTGAGTGGGGGGGTGAGTGGGGGGTGTGAGTGGTGGGTGAGTGGTGAGTGAGTGGTGGGTGAGTGGGGGGGGTGAGTAGGAGCGTGACCTGCAGTAGGATTCGTTGTTGTTGACGGGGTCTCCGGCGCGCTGCGCTGGCTGCGTGAAGTTCTCCAAGTGGCGCACGTGGAACACGGACAGACTGCTGTTCACATAGCCCTGTAGACACCTACACACAGTACACACACACAGTACACACACACACCATACACACAGTACACACACACACCATACACACATTACACACACACACCATACACACAGTACACACACACACCATACACACAGTACACACAGTACACACACACCATACAAACAGTACACACACACCATACACACAGTACACACAGTACACACAGTACACACACACAGTACACACACACACCATACACACAGTACAACGTGGAACACGGACAGACTGCTGTTCACATAGCCCTGTAGACACCTACACACAGTACACACAGTACACACAGTACACACAGTACACACACACACCATACACACAGTACACACAGTACACACACACACCATACACACAGTACACACACACCATACACACAGTACACACACACCATACACACAGTACACACAGTACACACACACACCATACACACAGTACACACACACACCATACACACAGTACACACACACACCATATACACAGTACACACAGTACACACAGTACACACACACACCATACACACAGTACACACAGTACACACACAAAGTACACACAGTACACACAGTACACACACACCATACACACACACCATACACACAGTACACACACACCATACACACACACAGTACACACAGTACACACAGTACACACACACAGTACACACAGTACACACACACCATAAACACAGTACACACACACACAGTACACACAGTACACACAGTACACACACAGTACACACAGTACACACACACAGTACACACACACACCATACACACAGTACAACATGGAACACGGACAGACTGCTGTTCACATATCCCTGTAGACACCTACACACAGTACACACAGTACACACACACATCATACACACCATACACACAGTACACACACACACCATACACACAGTACACACACACACCATACACACAGTACACACACACACACCATACACACAGTACACACACACATCATACACACCATACACACAGTACACACACACCATACACACAGTACACACACACTGTACACACACTGCACGCACACACTGCACTCACTCACAATACACAGTGGTACACAGAGAGACTGCAGGTATCTACAGTAAACACACAACAACCGCCATTTGCCACGATGTGGCGGTGATGCCACGTGAAGTGTCGAACGCCCGTTGGCAGGAGGTCACGGGGCAGACCCAGGTGCCATGCATCAACTGACTGAGATGAGTGGCCAATGCACCACCTGTGCCCCCTACTGCAGCAACTTGCTGTGTTTGAGTCGCTCGGCGCTCTGCTCGTTGTTGTGAGCGTCGCTCCTCTGCCCTCCGTTATTACTTTAACTGTCCAGTAGCATCCTTCACGAGCCTCCTCCACAGAGGCCGATCTTGACACCGCTGGTATCAGTCATCAGCAAGTCCACTCAGCTCCACGTCCTCCTGTACCACATCACTCCATCTCTTCTCTAGCCCGTGCCGTGCCAGTTTAGCTCCCTCTATCCGGCCGAACAAAAGCTGTTTAGGCATGCGGTGGCTGGGCATGCGGGCTACATGACCCAGCCAACGCAGCCTTGCCTGCCGGAGGAGCTCACCGATGGATTTGTGAGCTCCTCACACAATCCAGCCTGGTTAAACCCAGGATGGATCGTAGGCAGGCCAGCCTAAATATTTCTAACCGGCGAAGATGCTCCATTAAGGGGGATACACGTTTTGGAAACGTAGAGATGTAGGTGTGTGTAGGTGTGTGTGTGAGTGAGTGTGTGTGTGAGTGTGTGAGTGAGTGTGTGTGAGAGTGTGTGAGAGTGTGTAGGTGTGTGTGTGAGAGTGTGTAGGTGTGTGAGTGAGAGTGTGTGTAGGTGTGAGTGAGAGTGTGTGTAGGTGTGAGTGAGAGTGAGTGAGAGTGAGAAAGTGAGTGAGTGAGTGAGAGTGTGAGTGAGTGAGTGAGTGTGTGAGTGAGTGAGAGAGAGTGTGTGAGAGGGTGAGTAAGTGTGTGAGTGATTGAGTGTGTGAGTGAGTGAGAGAGAGTGTGTGAGAGGGTGAGTAAGTGTGTGAGTGAGTGAGTGTGTGAGTGAGTGAGCGAGTGAGTGAGTGAGAGTGAGAGAGTGAGTGAGTGAGTGAGAAAGTGAGAGAGTGAGTGAGAGTGAGTGAGTGAGAAAGTGAGAGAGTGAGTGAGTGAGAGTGTGAGAGAGTGAGTAAGTGTGTGAGTGAGTGAGTGTGTGAGTGAGTGAGTAGGTGAGTGACTGAGTGAGTGAGTGAGAGTGTGAGTGAGTGAGTGTGTGAGTGAGTGAGTAGGTGAGTGAGTGAGTAGGTGAGTGAGTGAGTGAGAGTGTGAGTGTGTAGGAGTGTGAGTGAGTGAGTGAGTGTGTGAGTGAGTGAGTGAGAGTGTGAGTGTGTAGGAGTGTGACTGAGAGACTGAGTGAGTGAGAGAGTGAGTGAGTGAGTGTGTAGGAGAGTGAGTGAGTAAGTGAGAATGAGAGACTGAGTGAGTGAGTGAGTGAGTGATAGAGAAAGTGAGTGACTGAGTGAGTGAGTGAGTAGGTGAGTGAGTGTGAGTGAGAGTGAGTGAGAGACTGAGTGAGTGAGAGAGTGAGTGAGTGAGTGAGTGACTGAGTGAGTGAGTGAGAGTGTGAGTGAGTGAGTGTGAGTGAGAGTGAGTGAGAGACTGAGTGAGTGAGTGAGTGAGAGACTGAGTGACTGAGTGAGTGAGTGAGTGACTGAGTGAGTGAGTGAGTGAGGAGACTGAGTGAGTGACTGAGTGAGTGAGTGAGTGACTGAGTGAGTGTGTGAGTGAGTGAGTGAGTGTGTGAGTGAGTGACTGAGTGACTGAGTGAGTAAGAGAGTGAGTGAGTGAGTGAGTGACTGAGTGACTGAGTGAGTAAGAGAGTGAGTGAGTGAGTGAGAGAGTGAGTGAGTGAGTGAGTGAGTGACCTCTTGGCCCGGTATTGCCCCTGCCCCGCACAGGGACCGTAGGCGTGGATGTAGACGAGGCGTGGGATGAAGTCGGAGGTGATGGCGATGACGAGCGCGTTGGTGATCACCGCCACCACGCCGATGAACTCCAGAATCCCGAACCAGATTCCTGACACGAACACACGCAGACAAAGAGAGCCCAGGTAGCTTATAACAGGGCTGTAGGGGCAAGTGCTGTTAGTAGCAAGTAGCAGCAGCACCGGTGAAGGCCTGGCACACGAGGGGGGGGGGGGGGTGGTGTGGGCGAGCACCACCCCACGGTGGCCCACCCGGCCGCCTTTGTCTCTCCCTAGTATCACAAAGACACTCACACTCACTCATCCGTCCACTCCTCCACCCACTCACTAACCCTCTGTGTGTCTCCCTCTGTGTGTCTCTCCCTGTGTGTGTCTCTCTCTGTGTGTCTCCCTGTGTGTCTCCCTGTGTGTGTCTCCCTCTGTGTGTCTGTGTGTCTCCCTCTGTGTGTCTGTGTGTCTCTCTCTGTGTGTGTGTCTCCCTGTGTGTGTCTCCCTCTGTGTGTCTCCCTCTGTGTGTCTCCCTCTGTGTGTCTCCCTCTGTGTGTCTCCCTCTGTGTGTCTCCCTCTGTGTGTCTCCCTCTGTGTGTCTCCCTCTGTGTGTCTCCCTCTGTGTGTCTGTGTGTCTCTCTCTGTGTGTCTCCCTCTGTGTGTCTCTCTGTATGTGTCTCCCCCTGTGTGTCTCCCTCTGTGTGTCTCCCTCTGTGTGTCTCCCTCTGTGTGTCTCCCTCTGTGTGTCTCCCTCTGTGTGTCTCCCTCTGTGTGTCTCCCTCTGTGTGTCTCCCTCTGTGTGTCTCCCTCTGTGTGTCTCCCTCTGTGTGTCTCCCTCTGTGTGTCTCCCTCTGTGTGTCTCCCTGTGCGTCTCTGCGTCTCGCCGTGCGAGTCCCCTGTGAGTGTGCGAGCGAGTCACCGATGTCGCGAGCTCTCCTGGCCACGGGTCTCCGCCAGGATGCGCACAGCTTCCACGCGTCGATGCGGATCTCCAGCAGGTTGTTGGTGAGCGCCAGCAGCGGGGCCAGCGGGAACGCCGCAACGAAGATCGTCACGAAGCCAAACTGCAGCACTGCCAGGGGCATCAGCAGCATCAGCAGCAGCATCATCGCCACTAGCAGCATCATCATCAGCAGCATCATCGCCACTAGCAGCATCAGCAGCAGCATCAGCAGCATTGCCAGTAGCATCATCAGCAGCAGCAGCATCATCGCCACTAGCAGCATCAGCAGCATCATCATCGCCAGTAGCATCAGCAGCAGCATCAGCAGCAGCATCGCCAGTAGCATCATTATCAACAGCATCATCATCATCACCACTAGCATCATCATCAACAGCATCATCATCATCGCCACTAGCATCATCATCAACAGCATCATCATCATCGCCAGTAGCATCATCATCAGCAGTAGCAGCAGCATCGCCAGTATCATCATCAGCATCATCATCATCGCCAGTATCATCATCAGCATCATCATCATCATCGCCAGTAGCATCATCATCGAAGGCAGCAGCAGCTGATGATAGCGCTGATGTTGCTGGTGCTGAAGTTAATGATACTACCGCTGGTACTATTGATGGTTCTACTGATGGTACTACTGCTGGTACTACCGCTGGTACTACCGATGGTACTACTGCTGATGGTGCTACTGCTGGTACTACCGCTGGTACTACCGATGGTACTACTGCTGATGGTGCTACTGCTGGTACTACTGCTGGTGCTACTGATGGTACTACTGCTGATGGTACTACTGCTGTTACTACTGCTGGTACTACTGATGGTACTACTGCTGATGGTGCTACTGCTGGTACTACTGCTGATGGTGCTACTGCTGGTACTACTGATGGTACTACTGCTGGTACTACTGATGGTACTATTGCTGGTACTGATGGTACTACTGATGGTGCTACTGCTGGTACTACTGCTGATGGTGCTACTGCTGGTACTACTGCTGGTACTCACCCATCTCGAGGTACTCGTAAGCGAGGAAGTACTCTGGAGGCTCCTCCAGGCGGAGGTCGTCTTCCCAGCCCCCCACGGGGGGCGCCCCCTCGGCCCCCCCCTGGGCCCCCCCCCTCAAACCACCAAACTTGCGGCAGCAGAAGCTGGGGCGACATCAGCAGCATCATCAGCAGAATCATCAACAGCATCATCAGCATAATCAACATCAACAACAGCATCATCAGCAGCAGCATCATCAACAGCATCATCATCAGCAGCATCATCATCAGCAGCAGCATCATCATCAACAGCATCATCAACAGCATCATCATTAACAGCATCATCAGCAGCATCATCATCATCAGCAGCAGCATCATCATCATCATCAACAGCATCATCAGCAGCATCAT